TCCATTAAATTGTGGGAGATTAAAATTCTTATTCAATGCTGGTGGGAGTGTAAAATGGTATAACCACTATGGAAAAAAGTCTGATGCTTTCTCAAAATGTTGGAAATAGAATTACCATCTGACCCAACAATTCCACAACTGGAAATATACCCTAAAGAAAACAGAGCCATAACTCAAACTAACATTTGTACACCCATGTTTATTGCTGTTTTATTCACAATAGCAAAAAGATGGAAACAACCCAAGTGCCTATCAACAAATGAATGGATAGAAAAGCTATGATACACTCACATAATGGAATTATTATGCAGCATTGCTAAACAATGAACTCATAAAACATTACACAACATGGGTGACCCTGGAAGACATTATGCTAAGTGAAATATCTCAGTCACTAAAGAACAAATACTGCATAACACCACTGTTAGAAAAGAGAACTTACATGAGGGATTTGGGGAAAATAGGAAAAGAGTGGGTAGATAATGAACATGGCATTGGAACTGATAAGGGAAGAACTGTCTGAAAGGAATATATGATTAGTCATTATATGTATAACAACAATATGGACCAAGAGATACAATGCAAAGTGGACTGGGTGGGGGAAAGGGGACAAGAGGAAAATGTGCAACAATGAATGAAAGAAAAAAAAATATAGTTCATCACATTAACAAAGCAAATAGCAAGAACCATGTGATCTTGTCATTTGATGCAGAAGCTCTCTACAAAATGCATCACTCCTTCCTGATTAAAACACTGAGGAATAGAAGGGAATTTTCTAAAGATAATTAAAAGTATATATGCAAAACCAGGAGCTAACATCATTCTCAATGGAGAAGAAAGACTAAAGACATTTATTTCCCTTGTAAACAGGGACCAGGCAAAGATACCCACTTTAATCACTCCTAATGTATTGGAAGTATTTGCTAGGGCAATACAACAAGAAAAGGAAGAGGCATCCATTTGACAAAGATGTGGTAAAATTGTTGCTATGTACAGACTATATGACAGTATGTTCAGAAACTCCCAAGGGCTCAATAAAAAAACCCCCAAACCCAAAACAACCCCCTTGTCAGACCTAGTAGACCAATTTAGTAGATTTGCAGGATACAAAGTCAGCGGGATTCCTCTATAGTAACAAAGGAGACACAGAAAAAGAAACAAAGAAAGCAATATAATTTACAATGGCCCAGCACTAACTGAGATACTTAGGAATAAATCTAACTAGAGAACAAGCATGTCTGTTTTGGAGGGTGAAGCCAACCTGGTTTCTGGAGGCAAGGATTTTTAATCTCTGTCTTACATATTTTGGGCATGTTGCCAAGAAGGGACCAGTCCTTGGAGAAGGACATTATGCTTGGAAGAATGGAGGGACAAAGCAGGAGCGGAAGATTCTGGATGAGATGGATTGACACAATGACTGGGGTAATAGGAGCAGGTGTGTTGGAGACAGTGAGATTCACTCAGGATAGGACAGAGTTCAGAGCTCTTGTGCATATGGTTACTATGCACATAACAACAACAGAGACTCTGGTGGTCTGGTGGCAAGAAGCTGCACTGCAACCTTGACGACATGCAGTTTGAGTCCACTAGCTTCTTAGAGGAGAAGGATGGGCAGTCTCCTGCTGTGGGATTTATTGCATCTGAAAATCCACAGGGATGTCAGCTATGAGTCAGTTCCAACTTGATGGTATACGGCAACAACAACAGAGATACAAAAGACTTATAAAGAAAACCATAAAACATTACTCCAGGAAACAATGAGACCTAAATAAATGACTGTTGTTGTTAAGTGTCGTCAAGTTAAGTATGACCCATAGCAACCCTATGAAAAAAAGATCTGAACCTTGTTCTATAAGTATTGTTATTTCTCTAATGTTCATATTGTTTCAAAAGGAATTTTGTTTAGGACGTGGATGCTAATCCTGCTTCCAAGCAAGTCTTAATCTGGGAGCTTCTGATTCCCTGTCTCTAGGATAGTCACTTTATTTGTGGCTTCCATTCTTTCATCATTTGTGCCTTTTTCAGTAGCTGTTCATGTGACTCCATGTCGATATAATCTTTCTGCCTCCTTGTCTCTGGGGTCTACAATATGCTCTGTCTTTTTAGGAGAAGTTTTGTTTTGTTTCACAACGTTTGAAGCTGCCTGCTGCTTTCTTGACATTGTTGTTGTTGTGTACTGTTGAGTCAGAACTGACTCATAGCTGACCCTCCAGTGGGTTTTCTGAGGCAGCTATTCACAAGAGGAGCTTGCCTATCCTTTTCCTAGGACGTTATGTGAAGTTTTTCTTGGTATGTGTTAGATCATATGTATCGTGTCTGCTTAGGTTGTTGACAGTTTTTTAAAAATGATATTATTGATTAAATGAAAACTTAAATTATTCCCTTTATGGGAGAAGGCAACCTTCTGGTTCTATGTAGTGGGAAAGCTGGCTGGCCTTTCCTAAATCCTTCAGCTTCTCTCTGGTCTGCAGTGCAACCCTGTGAGAATTTCTTATGTTGCCTTGATAGGCTTACTAGAAGCCTGAATGTAGTCTCTCTCCTCTTCTCCTTCTGGTCAGGAGAGAGCCACTCCTACCTGTTTCCTTTCCTGACAGTCATGCCACTGAACTCTAATACCACTTAAGAAAGAGAACAAGTTCTTGAGAGGTGATGATGCACACAGATTTGTGGATTTTGAAGGGTGGCATGGTGGCATGAAGGGAGAGGGAGAACAGGTGCACAGGACAGTGGAAGCCACAGGGCTGGAGAGAGGGGTACATGGGCCCTATATATTTGCTTTATAAAATTAATTACCATTGATGTATGCCCATTATTACTCTATTTTTTCAGGTTCCCATTGGTTCTTTCCCAATTCCTTCACCCCCTCCCTACACAAACAGAACTCCTTCATCCCAGTGATTTGCTCCCCCTCCTCACATTCCACTTCCCCCCGTAAGTCTTCTTTTTAAAATTTTTTAAATTATTATTAATTTTAATAAAAATTTACAGAGACTTTGGATTTAAATTCATTCATTGTTGCATGAATTCATTGCATGATTCTTTCATTGTTTTACAATCCCTCCCTCAATGTCCACTCCACTATGCAACCTTCTCTCTAGACTCCTGTCATGACAATAATACCTAATCACATATCCCTTTTTTTTGTTTTTTTTTTACTTCAATAACTTCATATTTATTATTACAATAAATGTACCAATTATTAACTACAAAAATGAAACTAATATCCTTAGATTTTTTTTCTCTTAATAGCTCCCCCCATACACTCTTCTCTTTTAAAAGTAAAAGAAAAATTCTTTCATTGTTTTACAATCCCTCCCCTCCAGGTACACTCTACTATGCAGTCTTTTTTCTGAACTCCTGTCATGACAATAATACCTAATCACATATCTCTTTTAAACAGTTTTCTACCTCATTTGTTTCAATGCAGTATACATTATTTATTCCTTCTTTCTCATTCTCGCTCCAATCCCAATGTCAGTCCTGTTTTACAGCAGTGGCACTATGCAGTATTTGTCCTTTTGTGACTGAGATACTTCAATCAGCATAATGTCCTCCAGGGTCACCCATTTTTAATAATACTGCATGAGTTCCTTGTTTTTCAATGCAGCATAGTATTCCATTGTGTGAATATACCACAGCTTCTCTATCCATTCATTTGTTGATGGTCACTTAGGCTGTTTCCAACTCCTTGCTATTGTGAACAAAGCCACAATAAACATGGTGTGCATATATCTGCTTGGGTGGCAGTTATAGTCTCTTCGGGGTATATTCCCAGTAGTCGAATTGCTGGGTCAAATGGTATCTCTATTTGCAACTTTTTGAGAAAGCGCCACACTGGATTCCATAGTGGCTGCATCATTTTACACTCCCACCAACAGTGAATAAGGGTTCCAGTTTCACCACAACCTTGCCAGCATTTGTTGCTTGCTGTTCTGTTAAATTTTGCTATTCTTACTGGGGTGAGATGATATCTCATAGTTGTTTTGACCATAAGTCTTCTTGAGTGCGTGATCATAATGTAGTGGGGAAAAAAGTGGTATTGTGTAAATCTATACTTCCCTTAAGTTCAACTTGCAGACAAAATATTTGTTCAGGGTAGGAACTAGATCTTGTGGAATGTGACACTTGATATATTTTCATATTCTTGACTTACAGTATGAACTATTGTATTAATGTGTCTTACATGACAATTTCTACATATCAGCTTTTAAAAATCATTTAAGCAATATGTTTTTTTAAAAAATATCTCAAAATAGTGAAAAAGTTCTTCTTACTGACTTTCCTTGGTCCCTCTGTTGTTGTGTACTGTGCATACCTCACTCTCCTATGGGTTTTCATAGGTCATAAATTACATGGAAGGAGATTGCCCACCTTTTTCCCATGGAGCAGCTGGTCATTTGAACTGCATACCTTTGTAGTTGCAGCACAGCTTCTTACCACAAGGCCACCATAGCTACCTCTATGAGTAAATAATAACAATGCTTATTAGAGACATATGCATATATATTTCCTTCTTATAAAAATAAAATTGTACTATATATATTGTTCTATAACTTTTTTCCCTGACTTAACAATATCTTGACTACGTTTTAATTATATTTATCAGTACATTTTTTATTTTTGGTTCTAATATAGAAGTTGTCTTACTCCAGTGGTCTCTCTGTAGGTGGAAATCTAGGTTGACACCATTTTTTTTTAAAAGTAAGATACTTTATTAGCACAGCACAGAACATCAATCACAGTGCCACAATTTTTTTTTGCTATTAAATATAGTCATGCAGAGAACATCATTATCCATACATGCTGTTCAGGGTGAATTTTCCTGAGGGAAAACGCCTATAACTGGAATTTTTCAGTGAAATATTGTTTACAGGATTGAGATATAAATGGAATGGAGGATGAATCTGGTATTTTGTATTAAATGAAGTTCTTAGTTTTGTTATTTGAGTACTACTTGTGCCTTACATATCCTCTACATTTTGCTTTGTTTTCCTTCAAAGATCATTATAAGTATTCTTTTACCACCCACGATTTTGACGTTGGAATTTAAAAGTAAAGCTGAGATGTCGCATATTCCACAATCCCAGGACTACCAGTTTACATGGTATAATGGTGACCAGAACCCTGGCAGTACCAAGGAAAGTGCTTTCATGGTGAGTACAATATTATCTCATGCATGCAACATCACAGTGAATTGAGTGTTTGTAGTATTCATTGAATTGAAATGTATACATACACAAATTTTATTTATATACAAATCTGCTAAATGAGAATTGCTGTTGACACTGCTTCAGCTCAGTGGTAACAAGTGATCTTGGTTTTCTGAGTCATCAAAGAAGCAATTAGTTCTCTTCTGTGCAATTTTATTATACTTTGGTCAGATATAGCATGTAAGGTAGATCGAATCAACCCCACATATAATTAAGTAAAACACTCTAAAGCCCAACTAAAAGACAATTGTTTACTTCATGTTTTCTTTTTTGACTAGTTGAGTAAACAGACTTTTTATTTCACTAAATAAATAAAGCAACAGTGAGGGATACCTCAGATTCCAAAAGTATTCATTTGCAGAGATACAGTTATGGAGTTTGCATTGATCTCTGTTTTTCAACTATATGCATCTTCTTGCCTGTTAAATCTGTTGACTATGAATACTTGTACTTGAGTTCCAAGATTTATACTCTTTCAAAGGTTCCTTCGATTACTCACTTCTCTGGTGGTTCACCTTTATTTACACAGTCTCCAGTGTGCTATATAGTCTATGCTTCCCCCCGCCCACACTTTTAAAAAAAATTAATTTCAGGCGAGCTCTGGTGGCCTAGTGGCAAGAAACTGCACTGCAATCCTAGAGGTGCATGGTTCAAATCCACCAGATGCTCTGCTGAAGAAGGAGGAACAATTGCCTCCTGTACCAGTCAGATCCAATTTGACGGTACACACATAAAAA